AAAAATAATAGCATTGATGTAAATTTATTTTGTTTTTGTGTATGCATAAAAATGATTTTATTTTATTTGTTTATTCACTGACACTAAAGTAAGGAATAATATTTTGTTTTTATAGCTACGTAATATTTAGCAACGCTAGAATTGAAAATATCTGTAGTTAAATATTCATTGGCATCAAAGTCAGAAATATTACAAGTAAAACCATCGTAGCGTAAACCAACAAAACATTAGCAATTTATGACAAAATCAGCAATGCAGCCTGCTTCAGGCAGGGTGATCAAGGGGTGATAATATCTTCCATTTTGCGTAACCAGTCTCATATCATAAAATCTTTGTTGACTAGTTAGGGTTTCTAGTAACTATAATATTAGGTAGTGACTCCTTAAAAAAGTTGTTCCCCATCAAAGAATAGGATGATAGAAATCTGTTCGTTTTTCCGATTAAAAATTTAAGGCCGCCACGATGTCCGAGTATGACAGAATGACGACTAAAATTTTCACTTATTCCCATAGTTTTTAGATCTAATTCAAGGCTCGGGTTTTAAGTGTTAACTAGGTCACTGGGTTGTCCGGATCAAATTTTTTTTACTAAAATAACGTCGTTTTAATTAAAAAAAAATTAACCCGGATGACCTAGTGACCCAATTAAAACCTGAAACCCGAGCCTTGATTCGAATCTAAAAACTATGAGAATAAATGAAAATAATAATGAAATGAAATTAAGATAAAGTGGAGGGAACCATAATATTTCTCAATTGAGATGGATGGAAATGTAGTGAGAGGAAAATGGAAATTTAATTTACAATACATAAATAATCTTTTTAATTTGGTGGATGGAAATTCTCAATTAATAAAACAAATATATTTTTTTTTTATTTACAATTGATATTTGATGGATAATATCCATAAAAACACTAAATATATAAAAGTATTAAATCTTATCATATATATAAAGTACAAGATTATGTATAAATAATCAGACAAGTTTATTTTAAAAATCTAATTATTCAAGAAATATAAAAATTAAAGACCAAGAAATATAAAGTAATTTATCATTTTTTATTTCAATTAATGTTAAAAATAGCTGTAAATAACTTTGAATTGAATTAGCTCGATTATGAATATTCGAAATTTAATTTACATGATTTTATAACTTAATAGCTTATTTCAAACCCTATAAATTGAAATCAATTCTTGTGTTTGGAATTCCTCTCTTATTTTACAATAGTATCTCTTGAAATTAATATAAAAAACAATATGTAAAGAATACCCTCCCCTTTTTCCTTTCAAAAACCCTACAAAATAACTTCATCTCAGCCACCCTCACCTTCTAGTTACCTTCTCTTCTTCTAACTCCATCTTCTTTGACAGCACTGCTTTCTTCAACAAGACTAAGTCATGTAATTCTCTAGTTCTTGGCAGAACAACCAAGTAGAAGATGTGCTGATTGGAAAAAAGATAGAGGATTTGCTTAGGATAGGAGATGGAGCAGAAGTTGAGTTAATTAGCTTGGGTGCAAGAGTTTTCATTGTAAGTATAATTTGACGAAGTAGTAGATGGTCTTCGCTTGGACTTGTTTTTCTCCTCTCGTGCTGTGATTCTTGCAGACCAACAAGTTCTTTTTCGTCCACCTCTCTGAACTCAGTGCAGCTATTTGCAGGTACGTTTTGGCTATTTGGTAGGATTAATGCCATACGCAACCCAGTTACAAGGTGGAAGTTCTTAGCTTTCGAGTTGAAACAGAAAGCTTTGGATCCATCGGTCTGCAAGAAAAATTTAGGGACAATTAGGAGCTACAATGTCATGGAAAAGAATAGTTCTCTTGATTCAAGCATTTTTCTAAAAACATATAGAAAATTTGAGGAAGAAATTAAGTTGAATATGAAGTTAGAAGATCTTCTTATGATATATTACAGAGAAAAACTGAAGTTTTCATCTTCTTTTTCGGTCAGGTTTGGAAATATCAACTTGGTACTTTAATCTTAAATAAGGGTAAATTAGTCAAAAAATTTAATTCAATTTATTTTTACATGTATTACAAGTAATATAATTGAATTCAATTATATAATTTAATATTTATTTCAAACATAAAAATCATAATATGGTATAATAAAATTTAAATTTGCAATCTTTACTTAATATATATTAGAGAATAATTTATTTATACATATAACATATTAGTCGTCTTAGTTTAGTAGTTCGTAAATTGTTGTTGAAGTATTTATTTATACATATAATATGTTAGAGAAAGTGCTTAAGAATATATATATATATATATATATATATATATATATTAAGAA